AAAAAAAAAAAGGCAAAACATTCACCACAATTTCTGATTTTAATTTCAGTTTGAATGTTGTCGTTGTCTTTGAATCTGTGAGCAGTGCACAACAGCGGTGTTGAGTCGACGGGAGGTAGAGGGGAACGAGGGAGGGGGGAGTGTTAAAGGAACGCATGAATTTGGGACCAAATACGCATCCTCTATCGGCGGTAGGTCTTAACTGACAGTAATTCGTAAGATCTCGCACGTAGATGCAATGGAAGACGCGAATCACGTGTGTGACTGTGGCCGGTCTTTCATGTCATTGCGAACGATGAACTCGCACCGAGCGCGGGCATGTCCCTCCACTGTGGAAGAGAGGAGCATGACAGAAGAGATAGTTGGGGAGGTCAACGGCGGACCGTTGAATAGTGGTCCCATTGACCTGGTCAGTGGGGAAAGCCAGGAGGTTGAGCCCCCTCATGTACAAGCGGACTGCGCATCTGAAGAACAGCAAGAAGAACGCGCAGAGACATTCGACAGTTCCCGCAAACTAGCGGCATTGATTTTCTCGTGTAGGGGTGGTGTGGGCATGTCCCAAACTGACGTTGACTGTCTGTTGTCACTCCTCAAAAATCATAGATTTGACCCCAGAGATATCGCATTTCGTAACAGTCGTGAGTATCTGACATGGGCAGGCCGCCAGAGGCAGGGTGGCAAAAGAAGAATCTACGCAGTGATGATTGGCCCGAAGAAGCGCATGTCATTCTGTGGTACTGCGACTGGCGCACAACGTTCGCTGACCTCGTGCGTGCTGCACTGAACAACGTTGAAACGGTATCTTGCCTCGAAATACAACATCCCGGGGAGGACATCGAAATCTGCGACTCTCGCACGGGGCAGTTGAGTCACCGTGTCCAAACTGTTATCAAAGCGGACAAGGGTGTGGACACGAATGGTTGAACACGTTATGTCATCCCTCTGTCTCTGTATTCAGACAAGACTCATGTAGACGGTCGTCAAAAACAGACAGCGTATCCTCTGATGATGTCAATCGCCCATCGCCTATCAGATGCCACACTGCTTGCGTATCTTCCAGTGCTTCAACACCGGCCACGTGACAAGGGCTGGGGTCCGCACTCCACCGCGTTTAGAAAACGGAAAACTGTGATATTGCATAAAGCGTTGTCAACAGTATTGCAGTCCCCAAAGGAGGCATCCCATGACGGCATGATGGTAACAACGGAGCGGTTCGGTGAGATAACAGTGCACCCTTTCGTCATGAACTATATACAGGACTATCCTGAAAGGTGTGCCCTTGCAACTGTGAAATTCGGTGTTTGTCCAACATGCACAGTGCCCAAAGACGATTTGAATGTCATCGCCGATTTCACCAACTGCAAGAGATCGCAGACGCTAGAGACGCAACTTGCCGCGGACTGCTTCAACAGTGGGGACAACGACATTCGTCGTGCTGCTGAGGCACAAATGTCAGAATTGGACATGCATAAGCATGTTCAAGAGAACGGCCTATGGGGATTCTACAGGGGTCCGCATGGTGACGATCCTGAACTAGATTACCATCTCGCTTTGCAACCAGACCGTATGCACACCATTGAACACGGTATTTTTTTGCATATGATAGATGCATTCAAGGCAGTTGCTTACAAGAAGTTTCCAGATACCGCGCAAAGCGAGATATTGCACGAGATGGATGCGAGGTTGCAGAGCATCAGTGAGAGATCCACACGGACATACCCGCAACTTGTATTGTTCGTAGCCACAGGTTGTGATTTCTTTTCAAGGGAAGGACAATTTGAAGCGAAGCAAAATCTGTCTGTTATGACAGTTTGCGTGTTTATTATTTGTGATATCATCCCACGTGCAACAGACAAATCCATTTCCGCTTGTTTCATCAAACTCATGGAAATGTACATATACGTGTTTCGTAAGTCAACCCACACAGCGTCCTCTCTCGATGTTTGTGACACATTGATAGGTGATTTCATAACTAGTATAAAAACGAAGATGAGAAAATATCAAACCTCTGATTGGAAAATTTCGAAGTTGCATGACCTTATGCATTTGAGAACAAGCATAGAGCGATCTGGTGTTCCCGACACGTTCGCAGCTAATGTGTGGGAGCATAATCATCAGAGGTTCTGCAAACAGCCATATTTGTCATCAAACAAGCGTAAGGCTGCTTCCCAGATGGTGAATCATGTCCGACGCTCATTGGCTTCGCAGAATGAGATGGAGAGTGTGAGAAAACGCAGGAAGAGGTCGGCAGAAAATTGGTCATCCGTGATAGAGTGCATGGGCACCGGAAGTAATACCCTGGCAGCGGGCGACACAGCAACTCTACAACTCCGGTGGTTCCAGATGGACGATGTGCATTTGCCAGGCGTAGAGGGTATGAGCGATGCCGCGTTGAGAATACTTAATGAGCTTCCCCGCAGAGAGGATTTTCGAGCTGCACTTACGACGTTCATGACAAAGATGGGTTGTCAACCTCCATCTGATGACCAAGTCATACACACTCGAACACACTTGACTATCGCCTGCACATACGACGGGACGCAAAGGGGCGCAAGCGTTCAGACGGCAAGAGTTTCACCGCAGTTCCACGGGAGAGCCATGCACATCGATATTGCAGTGAGAGGTGGCAATGACAACATATGGTATGCATCAGTAACCATGTTTTTTGTCATGAACGCTTGCACAGGTGGTGTTGCGGAGATGCACAAGTGTTGTTTCGTGCAATGGTACAAAGAGGTGGATAGCGAAAGGGAACACACAACAGGTTGTAAGAAGTTGCAATGGGAGAAGGTGAACGGTCATCAGCACAGTAGCGTCATAACGATTGATACCATCATTGACACCGTTCATATTGTTCCTCGTTTTTGTAAACCACAGTGGGGCTCGAAGAAGAATGCAAAAGAGAGGGAGGACAATTTTTTGTTGAATAGATATGTACTCTAGAAGTGTACAGGGAATTACTCATTGTGAAAAAAACAAAAATCAAAAGGCTGATCGTTTTTCCGAGAACAAGAAGTGGTGGGCGCAGTTGCAATGTTATACTACAGCATGCACTCAACTTTTGTTTTTCTTTTACAGAGAGAGAGAGAGAGAGAGAGAGAGAGAGAGAGAGAGAGAGAGAGAGAGAGAGAGAGAGAGAGAGAGAGAGAGAGAGAGAGAGAGAGAGAGAGAGAGAGAAAGAGATAGAGAAAGAGATAGATAGATAGATAGATAGAGAGAGAGAGAGAGAGAAGCGTTTGAACAACAATAGTCATTTGGTAAAGATGGAGTCCGAACATTGGTAGATTTTTCGAGCGCGGAGCCTGCATTTCAGACCACTGTTGCATAGCTTCTATGTCATCGTACACAACAATGTAGAGAAAGGTGCATTAAGCCAGTGTGTATGACGAAGGTAACTTCAGAGTTGACAAAGGTGCACATGTATGGCGAACGTGGACTTAAAAAGTGGGAGGTGGCACGCACTAGTCAACCCATGTCTATACTTGCCAAGTTACTGACGAGATGTGGTTCATGGCCATATGACTGCCATGTGAACAGGAAAGGTTGAGGTCGAGGTAACGCCACAATAACAATCTGCACTGGAAGAATTGACAAGACAGCAAGCGGGAAAATAAACGTATTGAGGAATTGTTGAGAAGCCGATTTAGACTGACACTGCCATCAGTTGTCACATCTGTTGTACGACGGAGAATAAGGGTTGTTCAGATGAGCCAGTTTGACAAAATCCACGAGGGGGTAGATGACAACGGTTGTATCATGGGCTCCAAAGCGACGGACAGTTCAGAAACAGCAAGGAATGACGAACACTCATGTGGACCAACTGTCACCGAACCGTTGCTCCCATTGAGAGATCAGTGAATCGATGAAAGAGGATACTGGAGGACCCTTGGTATGCGGAAATGTATCAGATGATGACCATAGATGACGCCCAATATCCTCAGATGGTGCATGAACCTTTGTTCAATATTGCAGGAGGCAATCGATCGACGGGTATGGCTGCAGAGGCTGGAAAGAGACCCAAGAGGGTGGACGAGGAACACTTGTTCCCGTTCACGTGGAAATAAAAAAGACACGCCATATCGATAAGAAAACGGGACGCATTGCGATTGGGTGTCAAGCAGTGGCTGAACGATAATGTGATCGATATGTACTTACAGTCCGTCTATGACGAACATTTTTCAGACGGAGATAATATGACACTTCATGTTTGCACATCTTTCTGGCACCCCGCAGTCATCGCCAATCAGAAGGTTTATGTCGTGAAAGCGGGATGGCAGGGGCGGATCAAGAGTACATCGCCAAAGCTGCGTCGAATAAGCAATGAACTGCGAACAACAAGTGTTGTTCTCATCCCTGTGAATCACGAAAACCATTGGAAATTGCTCTTGCTACTGAATGTCGGCCAGTTTTTGGCAGTCACGGAGGACAACGATGGCCAGAAACGACTTGTTGCGATCGTCATCAATTCCTTTCAACAGAGCGGTCGACAGGAATGGAAGGCGTTGCGCACATTTTTGTGGTATGAATACCTCAGCCAGGCAGACAAAGCAGGGGTGTTGACTCCCGACACAGTGGACACGTCGTGGGTGACATGGAGAGATCTACTTGGATCTAAGATAGTGTACGCTGAATGTTCACAACAGACCAATACGTCGGACTGTGGTGTTTACGTTTGTTGCTTGACAGCTTAATTGATGCGAAAGCTAGCAAAACTCAGTAAGCAAACGAACATTACCGCAAAATATATAACAGAAATTGTTAGCGCGATGGAGGTTGACGACCAAACGGTCGACATATTTCGTCAGTCAATGGTACAGCACGTTGCGCAGTGTGCTGTCGAGGCAAAAGGATATAACACCGCAGCAGCATATGACATAGAAAATGTTTTCAGAGATCTCATAGACGGAACACGGAGTGGATGTTCGTAAATACGAGGGCATGATAGAAACCGTGAGATCAGGAAACACGAAGTTGACAACCGCGTGCAAATATACAGAACTCACACRTCGTAGARAAGCCAATCGGCACGCAGTAGCCAACTTCTGCGCTCAGTCGATGGATGAATGCGTGATGTAATAAAGAAAAAAATATCGTCTTTCGTGTCATAACGGCAAAAACTCACTCTCACTCTCTCTCTCTCTCTCTCTCTCTCTCTCTCTCCCTGCGTGTGAAAATCTCGCCTGGGGTGGTGGATGACAAATGGTCGTTGTATAATATAAAATCATTCCATGTCTAACATGAGTGTTTGTGAATTCATGCATATCAGAGGCTTTTAATAAGCGTGAAGAGAATGGCTCCGAAGCCAAGGTACGAGGATCTGTGCAAGACCTTGAAGTCCACAGGGGGGAGAGAGAAGGGGGAGAGGACAACAAAGGAAGGCCAGAAGACTGTCAAGCAAAGACATACCATCAGGGATATTCCCCGATTCAAGAGACGGGAGACGAACATAGTCCGTAGAACAGAAGTTGTGCTCTCTGTCTAGCCGAGGAAAAAGCAGAGTGGGAAACTGCTCGCACACAACAAGTTACCTGCCGCGACTCCCTTGCTGCGGAAGGGACACGGCAACCTCGAGAGGCAGCCTCCGATAGCGCCACAGAAGAAAAGACGAGAAGAAAAAGCACACAGTCAACAACTGAGGACAAAGAAAAGAATAATATACAGAAAAGATAGGAGTCCTGAAGCAATCGACCTCAGAGGGTCGTACGATTTACAAACCACAGCTCAGGAGGAAGACGAAGAGGAAAACTGTGCGGAAGAAATGTCAGAAGAAGTAGAACACGAGAGAATGCAAGAATGAGGAGAAGGTGACAACAGTGACGGTCACCATGATGTCGATGCAGAGGAGAGCGATCCGGAGGGAGAAGAGGCAGAGGGAGAGGACAGATCCGAGGAGGGCGGAGAGGCAGAGGAAGGCAACAGTGAAGACGAAGAAAGAGAGATTACATCTGTTGAGAACAGTGCACAATGCGGAACTGATGAGAAAAAGGGAGGCGCACCGGGGACTTCATCGAACGACAAACAAATTGTGGAGAAGGAGAATGTACCGGTACAGGGTAAGATGAAGGGCGCCTTATAAACACACCACTATTTATGCACAGCACAGTCGTTGTTGCATGTCGTAGAAACGACGAGGTTCACGGGGGGGAGGGGGGGAAGGGGACGGGGCCGTTGGGAGGGGGTCTTTATGAGAGGTGTTACGAAGTGTATTCGGAGGAGGGTATGGCAGGGGAGTTGACGGTCTTATGTTTGTTTGTGATTGCAACACATAGAACACGTATCGCGGAGGGTCTTCTTATTACTAAATCAATAATTTATTGTTATTTTTGTTTTTTTTTTTCAGATTGCACCAATTTGTGTAGGCGAAGCAGCACCGGTGAAGACAATGCTGGCGAACCAACAGAGCAACAAACCGGGGGTTTTACAAAGAAAATGAAAGACAAACTGTTTCGTTCGGTGGCAAAGGCCTTTGCTTTTTCTGCAGCAAAGGATGCCACGTTGTACCCAACGGAGGACATTTTTTTCACGGCACTGCAAACAACTGCGAAATCGATAGGAGAAGATGTGGAGGAAGGACTACAGTTGCACGTGGCAACGTACGGAATCCGAGCAGTGATCGGGGAATGCAATCGGATTACGACAACGGTTCACGGCGAGATATCTTGGCAATTGAGACATTGGTTTTGGGCCGAAAAAAGTCTGCCGCTGGTCTGGTCGGCCCAAACGGACCACCAGCTTCCGACTCGCAACAGGATGCGGGCTGAGATGAAAGAGAACACAACATGGAGAAGGAGCGACAATGATCCATGGGGCGCACCTCCTTTCAAGACGGCACTGACAAAAGTTTTTCAAACGAGAAGGGATGGCATCAACCTCGGTGTAACGTTGCAGCAACTTGCATTTGCGGAACTGGTACTGAAAACTGAAGTCGAACAGACGGCAAAGACCAGCAAGGCAGCGGACCAAATACAAAAACTTGCAACTATCAAGAAAGAGATTGCTGCGTCGCTCCGCTCCCGAGTTCATTGCGCCCACCGACGACAAACGTGCGGGCGGAGAGAGAAACGAAGAAAGTTTGTGCGCAAGGCCGTGAAAAGGAGAAGAGGGGGTCCGGATGTAGATGGACGGGGGTTAAGGGTGGAACATAGGGAGCAGACAGTGGCAACGGTGTTGTAGGGGACATGAGTTGCACCTCCACTCACAGTTAGTGGCATGACACCAAGCCAATGAGGACCAAAATGTAAAATATAAGAAAGAGAGAGAGAGAGAGAGAGAGAGAGAGAGAGAGAGAGACATGGATAGAGTTGTTATCCGAAAACAAAAGACTCTGGAGAACCCTTAGGGCTCAGTGTACAATAAGCAAACATGTTTTATTTAATGAATGGTTTTTGTACAAGTCCTGTCGTGGATGTGTTTCGACCATCACGTGACATTTACGTCTCGCATCTCACATTACTCACCATCAATTTATTGTTTACATGGTTGCTTGTCTTGCAAGGATACGCACTGCGTCATGTGTAATGTGGCCCAAAATATGTCAGCGTTTCATTATGCAAAAACACGAATCATTTGGTTCGTTTGCAGAAAACGCATTACAGACTCCCAAAAATGTTCAATATGATGTCTTGAATATTGAGAAGACACTAGAAAACATGTTCATCTTAATACTGGGCGAGAAGTACATGAGTGGTTGACTACTGCGCGCCATGTTCTTGTCGTGCATGTGAGTGATACTGGAAATTGGCACCCGGTAGCCAACTTGCGTTTCAATATCGTTTTGACACCCCTGTGGACATTTGCCTTTGCAGCTGCATTCAAGGTTCACAGAAGCTACATAGACCCCCGAATAATATAAATAGCAACAGGGCAAGTTTTCTGCCATCATCAGTACGGGAGGGAGAATGACTATCTCTCTCTCTCTCTCTCTCTCTCTCAGACGCCATCTCTCTCTCTCTCTCTCTCTCTCACTCTCTCTCTCTCATATATCATTTAAACAACATTTCAACAACATTTCATCAC